GCATGGGTATTAGTTTGTGAGGGGTCATTGCTCAGCCGTCTTAGCAACCTCCACGCCTTCTGGCTGCTCCTGCCCATGTCGACCTCTGTGATCAGCTTGATCCACTGTTCTTTCTTGGCTTCAGAGATGGAGGACACAATGTTCTGTGCTGCCTGAAGAGTCTGTTCACTAAATGGGTCTTCGTTGTGGAGCCTGTAATAGTTTTCCAACAAGGCAGCTGTTTCAGGAGTAATGCCCTGAAGGTAGTTGGTTCTGCAGCCTCTCGGTATAGAGGCCCGTGAGCAGGTTTTCACTATTTCAATAAAATGTTCGTATTCCTCAGGGATTGGCATGACCGATGTGATCATGTCATCTAACATGTCTGAGAATTTAGTCCCATCTGCTTTTCTGAAGTTGTATCTTCGTTTAAATCGAACTTCCTGAGGCCTTATTGTTGGGAATAGTTGACATATTATTGGTCAGTGCTGTGTGTTTGGAATTGGTGGTCCCAGTGATTTAGTGCATTGCTGTACGATGCTGTCGCTCACAAATAAGAGGTCTGGGTTATAACCTCGGTGCCATCTCCCGCTGTTGTAGGATGGTGGGAGCTTGCTATCATGGATGAGTGATAGTTTGTGCAGTTCAGACCAGGACAGGACAGCCTCTCCATTTCTGTCCTCTTGGGCATAGCCCCATACATGGCTATGGCTGTTGAAGTCACCAATTACTACCGCCCTTTGGTGCCTGTCAAAGTTCTCGGGGAGGAGAAGCAGAACTCTTCATTTGGGGGCTTGTACACAGAGGTGATGGTGATGTTATTAAGCTCTACTGTTATAACCTCGATATTGTTTTCTTCAGTGTTGTGGGCACTGCTGACTTGGAGGCCTGGTTTGACAAAGACAGCGCTTCCATACTGCGCATGTGGTCTTTCCGCTACTAGGATCATTCCTGGAACTTTGGGTCATTTCTGTCGTTCATCCCTGTGTGTTTCTTGGACACACAGCACGTCACATTTCTTATCTCGGCACAGTTCATAGAGCAGTTGTTCTTTGGCAGCTGACATGCCTTCAATGTTGATTGAGATTATTGTCATGGTTGGTCCTGAAAAGGACCGTTGGTTGTTTTGCTTCCTTGTTTGCATGCTGCAAGTCGTCTCTGGTTGCTTCTGGATCGAGAGAATCGGCCGTCTACGAAGACGTTGCCCAGGGGACGCCCGGATGTCTTGCAATCCTGCGAGGAGGCTTCTCTCATGTCCCCCAGAAATATTAAATACTAACTGGGTATTTTTTTATTACAAAAGTGTAAATCAAGCACTAAAAGAGTTAGTAGGCTGAAGCCCGGTTGAGTTAGTGGGCCAAGGCTGGCATTGCCCTGAGGAGAGTGAGTAGGCCGAAGCCTGTTAGTGTTAGTTTGCCTCAGTGAGGGAACTCCTCGCTATGTGTGAGGTAAACATCTGTATGAGAGAAGCCTTGTGTGAGAGAGCTCATGTAAAGCTACTATGAATTTGTTTATTCGTGTTGTGGAAACCTTGTTATTGTAAATAGTGCTGATGTCAAGCACCCCCCCCCCCCCCCAAATAAGGGATAGTGACATAGTTCTGCAAAGGGCAAGGGCACCAGACTACACAACAAGGGTTAAGTCTTGGTCACATTGCCAAGGCACTAACAACAACAAGGACCCCACGAGGCTTTTGGGAAATGGCTGGATCTTGGGACTTCTGCCCTTTGCGGGAGCTGTAGTTTCCAAGGACCGAGTGATGGACTTTGGTGCTCTTTTCAACTCAGCGCCCATCGGTTGGCTTCTGCCTGTTAAAAAGGGACTCTTTGCTGCATGATTTTGGCCATTTGCCGCCCCTGTTTTCACGAACCTTCTGCCGGGGCATGGGATTTCTAGTTTCCTTTTTTTCTCTTTTAAATAAAAGCTCGAGATTTTAATAAAAATGAAGATGTGGGGTGGGAAGGGGATTCTTTTTGTATGATCTTGTCTAAAATAATGCTGTATGAATTGTATTCTGTTTTCCATCTTTCCTTTTGACTTTTGCCCCACAAAAGTGATCAGAAACTGCTGCTAGGCTCGAGGAAGATTCCTATCTCCCTCGAAACCCAGATTGTTGATTGATTCACCTACACAACACAATAGTCACCAACCCTTGTCTCGCCTTCTGAGCCGGCTAGCGAGATAAGGAATTCCATGGGATTTTGGAAAAGGAAATAATTAAGAAATCGCAAAGGGCAACGTTGATCCTTTGAGGTCCGAAGCCTGATCTTGTTGATTCTCCCCCCAAAAGCCCATCAGGAACAGGAAATCTTTGTTTGCTACCCTCACACTCTGCCAGCCAAGGACAATACTCCATATTCCGGCCGGCCAGCTATCTGTAATCCCATCATTTCCCCATTGTTTTGAGATCGTCCCGCCTCCCCTCTCCTGATTCGTCCATTTCTAGGAGCGAGAGGAATGCGCTGATTGGCCCTCTAGAGGCGGAGAAGCGCGCAGATTGGCTCGGAAGCGGGGCGGGCTGCCAAGCCTCCTCCCAGCTGTTCGGCCATCAGCCAATCAGCAAAAAGCCGGCCGGTAAGGGGGCGGGCGGGAATTTTGAAACCTTTTCCTTTGAATTTTCGTCTATAAAAATGCTTGTAACATGCCTAGCTTTATGCTTGTGGTGGAATGATTCCTACAATGCATCCGATTGCAGCTGAATCGCAAATAAATCACTTCGATCGCTGAGCTTCTTCCGCTTTGGTGAGATTTATTAATTTTAATATCTTTAACACTGAGATTGGCTTCTGCTGGCCTCACCATGGTTCTAGGGCCCTTTTGAGCGGTCCTCAGGGATCTCCTCCGCTGGGGAGACCCTCCTAAAAGCAGCTCGATATCAGTGCAACTATATTATTTTACTACAAAGAAAAGCCTCCTATGGAAGATATAACATTGGTCTGTGTGTTTTCGTTCTTTTTCTTTGACTAGTTTTGCATATTGGCCCCCTCCCCCCCTCCAAAAATGTGTCTGTTGTTGCTTATGATGTTTTCTTATTATTGTTTATGCTGTTTTCTGCTATTTTAATATTTTATTGTTCTGCTTTAACTGTATCTTACTTTGGGCTTGGCCCATGTAAGCCACCCCAAGTCCCCTCGGGGAGATGGAGGCGGGATAGAAAAATAAAGTTGTTCTTCTTCTTTTAATCACTTTGGGCTGCTGGTACTGGGTCACGCTGCTGCTGAGTTGCTCTGCTATACATTTTTGAGGCGGGTCTTTTGTTATTAAGCCCACTCACCCAACAGTTCTCTCTTCTGGACCCCCAATAAAGGCATAGTTAAGGTAGAGTATTAATGACTTGGATGAAGGTTTAGAGGGCATGCTTATCAAGTTTGAAGATGGGATCAAATTGGGAGGTAAAGTATGAAAGCGGCTGCATGTAAAGCTACTACAGAAGACAGGATCAGGATTCAAAAGGATCTCAACAGATTAGAGCCGATTGGCCAAAACTAACACAATGAATGTCAACGAGGACAAGTGTAAGATACTATACTTAGACAGAAAAATTGAAATGCAAAGATACAAAATGGGTGACATCTGCCTCGACAACAGTCCATGTGAGAACAATCTTGGAGTCTTCATGGGGAACAAGTTGAACATTAGCCAAGGGTGTGATGCAGCAGCTCAAAAAGCCAATGGGATTTTGGGCTGTATCCAAAGGAGTCTAATGTCCAGATCGAGGGATGTCATGGTGCCTTTGTATTCTGCTTTGGTTAGACGTCACCTGGAATAATGTGTCCAGTTCTGGGGGCCACAGTACAAATGATATTTTGACTATAGATGAAAGGTGTCCAGAGGAAGAGGGCGACTAAAAGGATCAAAGGTCTGGAGACCATGGATCCCTCTGAGGATCGTCTTAAAGAGTTGGGTCTGTTTAGCTTACAGAAGAGAAGGTTGGGAGGAGAGATGAGAGCCATGTATCAATATGTGAAAGGGTGTCCTAATGAAGAAGGAGCAGGCTTGTTTTCTGCTGCCTTTGACACTAGGACTAGGAGCAATGGGCTCAAATGACAGGAAAGGAGACTCCACCTGAACATGAGGAAGAACTTCCTGACCATACAAGCTGTTCAACAGCGGAACTCTCTGCCTTGGAGTCTGGTGGAGGCTCCTTCCTTTTAAGCAGTGGCTGAATGGCCATCTGTTGGGAATATGTTGATTGTACTTTTCCTGCATTGAAGAAGGGGGTTGGACTAGATAGCCCATGGGAGCTTTTCCATCTCTATTATTCTATGATTCCGTGAGATTAGCCTTTTCCAGTTTCCAGTTGGGCAATCCTTTTGTGAATCAATTTGGCCAAGAAAACCTTATGACAGGATCATGATAAATGGGAAGCGATTCAACTTGACGGCATATGACAACAACCCATATGAAGGATAACAACACATGTCCATTTTGAAAGGATGGGCACGGAGTGTCTTCAGTATTGTTTCTACCATAGAGAAGACTGCAGCTCTCAGGATTCCAAGTGGTGTCGAACTGCGATAATGCTGCGGTGTAGACTGACCCTTTAAACTCCATTACTTTGGTCTTTGTAGCTGCTGGGAAGGAGCACCTCGGCCTTGGAAGCCTTAGGATCGGAATGTAAATTGGTTTAAGTCCAGGCTGAGCCCTGCTTGTTGATTGGGCTATAAATAGCCTCTTGACAGCCCTATTATAAACCATACACACTAATCCTCCATCCATCATCCTTACTGCTTTTCCCTTGCCCTCCCGCTGTAGCTTGCTTATTGCCCTAATGCAATTCATCTCGGCAGGCTGGCTGGCTTGCGGTGTGTTGATGTATGTATATAGGTGTGTGAGCATCTCGACTCAATTTCCTCGGCCTACAAAGAAATCATAATAATCCTTAGCCAAAAAAATAACAATAATAATCAAGCAAGGGGGGAATAGGAAGGGGGGCAAACCAGCAGGTCCTGGTGTTTATCCACACTGGATGGTTGTAATCTCTTTAGGATCCAAGGTAGGAGGAGGAGGCGAGGTACGGGACTCATTGGCCTGCAGTCATGCATTATTGATAATAATGGCCGTGTCTCTTTAACTGGCTTGGCGCTACGACACTTGAGGGTGCGTGAGTGTACAAGCCAGCAAGCGTGTGTGGATTGGATGCATGTGAGTGTGTTTGAAGGCAGGCAGGCAAGCAAGCAGGGAGGCAGAGAGAGAAAAGCCAGAGCCTGCATCCTCCATCCTTTGCTTTTTGGGGATAAGCATAAGCATCCTCTTTTATTTTATTATTATTGTTTTGCAGGAGGGAGCCTCTCCCTTCATCCATCCATTCATTCACTCCGGCTGGGATCTATCCATGGCCTTTTCCTCCAGGCTCTCCTTCTTCTCCTTTTGAGGCGTCTTTCTTTCAGAGAGCCATCCCAAAGCAGTGGATGCTCTGATGTGCCAGGCAATCTGGAGGAGGCTGCCAAGGAGCAGGAGAGCTGCGAAGGAGAAGAAGCAAGAGAAGGTGGTGCTAAGGAAAGAAAGGAAGGAAGGAAGGAAAAAGAAGAGGGCCATTGCTGAGCTTGCCCAAGGCTGACATCAGGCTGCATTAATAGCCCAAAAACTGGGGAGCTCGGTGTGCGCTGGTGCGCCTGTGTGCCGCCTCACCCTCCCTCTTGTGTTGTTTACCCATCGCATCAGGGGCCGTCTCCCCACTCCTGGCATCCCTCCATCTTCCAGGTGCGCCTCTGGACATGAAGAGGCCAGCGGTGTGCGCAGAAGGCATGGCGTGAGCTGGGAAGAAGACAACAACGCGGCTGGAGGTAAGCATAAGCAAGCCTTACAAGCCTGCTGAATCCCTGGGAGTGGGCTGCGTGTGTGCATTCTCCTCCCCAGCACAAAGAGGCCCGGCTCCATCCCACCTCCCCAAATTGGGCCTCCCACCCTAAGGGTTATCTCGCATCCGCACCACCGCCCAGGGAGGGCCAATGTGCTGTAATTACATCCCTTTGCAAGGGAGATCACAGCACCGCCACCGTGCTGGTGTTACATAAGGACAAGCCTCCTTGTCTCGCTGGACAGGGCTGGGTCTCTCTCAGGCTGGCATCCTTCTTCATCTCAGTCTCTTTAAACCTAGCACTTAGGTTTCATAAACATATTTTAATGGGGGTGCCAGCTTGGATGCCCCCTTCCCTTTCCTTTTTTTTGTCTTCCCCCTTGTTTTGGATTTGCTGCATTGAATGAGAATTTTAGGGAGGACTTGGATGCTAAACGGTTTGTGTCGTCGTCCTATTTGATTTATTCATCTTGCTGTGTGATTCATTGAAAGGGAGGGGGTCTTTTTGGTGATGCCCACCTGCTTGTAATGTGATGGCTCATTGGAAACCACATGGATCTTGAATCTGGAAAGGAAAACCTGGCCTTCACTGTTTGGGATTTGGCAGTTCTTGGATGCAAGGCCTTGCTCGTTTTGTTCCTTTGCTTCTGTGCTTTCTCTGTGTTGAACCATTCTGTTTGTACACATTTCTCCAGCTTTGTTTTGGGGTCCATTGATTTGGGAGGTGACTTGGCATGAGTGACTCCCAACCTACACAACATGGATCCTCCAGGCTTGTTGTCATCTTTCGGGGTTGCCAGATTTTCTCCAAACCGGGCCCCTATGCTACAATAACCTGGCTTTACCAGAATGCAAAGAGCACGGAAAAGTGCCCTTTTGGGCCCAAAAGCAACATGGTCCAGATAGGCTTCACCTGTGATATTCCTGCTCTTAAAGGCACAGCAGCAAAACCATGGTTGTTTTTAAAGTTGGCAGTAGTGACCAACACTACACTTGCAAAACAGCATCCTTTGGGTTTCTTGCCTAGATGATTAGAATGATTACAGTTCTACAACCATAGAGGAGACATTGGAAGTGATGCTGTTCAAGGGATATTTTCCTCAGCTTCTTTAGAAATGCAGTAGACTTTTCTATGGAGCTAGCAGAGCAGGATGGTGCTGTTTTGCAGATGTTTTCTGTGCTGGTCATTGGTGCTTTAAAAAGTATCAACGTGGATGGAAGACCCTCTATTTATCATCAGATCTACTTTTGCTTTGTTGCTGCTTACTGCTTTTAAGTTTTGAACTCAAGCTTGCCAGGAACCTCCTTGTTGTACCTTTAAAGCCATTCTCTGTTCATTAAGTGCGTCAACAGGTAGGGTTGCCAACATTTTTATCAGCATGTGCTCTTGTGTCTTTCCCGACAGCTGGATGAACAAACATTAGCATGCAAAGCAGCTTCCCCCAGCTGCAAAAGGAATAAGAACAGCCTGGGAAAGGTTGTTTCTGGTCAGTTGGCAGCCCCAGTTGTTTGCAAAAGATGTTCTGTTTATCTCTCAGAGGTGCTGCGTTTTGCAGCTGGATTGTAGCCTACAAGTGGGTGGGTGGGAGGGAGGGAGGGCAAGAAGCTTTCAGAAGGGCCCTGTGCAAATTGAAAATCATTTCAGCATTAATTTAACACCAAAAGGTCCTTTTGTACTTGATGGAATGGGTCCTGTTGTTTTAATGTTTCCCCAAGAGTAAGCAATACAATTAACATGTTCTTCCCTGCTTCGCTTCTACATATGGATGGTCCCTAACAGAGGTAACATGTTATGTAATTTCATATCCCTCCATCCAGGTGTTTGGGAACTGGCTGCAATTTTCCAGTGTGACTTTTGGTGCAAGTTCAAAGAAACTCTTGCCAGGGTCTGGCATTTAGAAAGAAGTTCAAAGGGTAAAACATATGGACAAGTTTTTTTCTCCTTAAGTTTGGATAAGTACTAAGCAGATATGACTATTTCTTTTTCTACACAACTCTTACATGCATAAACAAAATAACATGATATCCAACCATGTGCCTCATCTCCCTCAGCTGGATCCCTAAATGCCCATGGACTCCAGTTCTCACCATCCTCTTCCAAGCCAGTCCACGATTGCAGATAATGAGAGTTTATAGCAACAGGGTTGTTATGAATTTTTCAGGCTGTATGCACGGCCATGTTCCAGTAGCATTCTCTCCTGATGTTTTGCCTGCATCTGTGGCTGGGATCCTCAGAGGTCTGTTCAGAGATCTGTGGGAATGAGGCAAGTGGAGTGTGTGCCTCTATCTCTATCTATCTATCTATCTATCTATCTATCTATCTATCTATCTTTCTGTGGAATAATGTTCAGGTTGGGAGAAAGAATCCTTGTCTGTTTGAGGAAAGTGTGAATGTTGTGATAAGCAAGCTTGAATAGCACTAAGTAGCCTTGCAGTGGCAGAGTCAATCAGTGAGGGTATTTGCATTGAGGTAGCCTGGCTGTTGTTGCTTGGCGGCATCCTTTGTTTCAGAGGTGTTAACTGGCACTTGGTTGTTTGCTGTCTGGAATTTCCTGTTTCCAAGTGGTGCTGTTTATTTATATGTCTTGATTCTGGTATTTTTTTTTAATCCTGGTAGCCAGATTTTGTTCATTTTCATGGTTGCCTCCTTGTAGCAACAGCTGGAAAGTATAATCTAAGTTTTGATCCACACAAGCAACAGATGAGATTGCTCAAACTTTGTGCTATGGCAGTGTCATTGGGGCCTGTGTTAGTACAATCTGAGAGTCAACAACACTGCCATAGCATAAAGTTTGAATGATAAACAGCAAGCTGAGATCCGTCCAGTGAAATCTCTCTGCATTCTTTGCCAGGGCTTTTCACACAACGCCTCTTCCACTTTGCAGAAAGTGTCCATTGGTCTCACATGACAGCAAGTCCTGCCATCTTGAGATGCTCTTTCATCTTCAATGTGGAGACACTTTTGTACCCTTAGTTACCGCCCATTACTGTTATTTGTGTTTGGTTGTGTTTTGGATGATGTTTACATCAGCCATGCTTGCTGAGGCTAGAATTGCGATCCAGAACAAACTCATAGAAGTCAAGGGCTACCTCGGCCTCAGGCTTGCCTTCAAAGGTCCATTGAATCTGTGGATAGAGAATCCGTACAAACAGAGAGCCAACTATAATTGTTTTACACCAGGCATGGGCAAACTTGGACCCTCCAGGTGTTTTGGACTTCAACTCCCTCAATGCCTAGCAGCCTCAGGCCCTTTCCTTTTACTTTCTTTTTCTACTTAAGCAGCTGAGGGGGGAAAGGAAGGGGCCTGAAGCTGTTAGGAATTCTCGGAGTTGAAGTCCAAGACACCTGGAGGGCTGAAGTTTGCTAATATCGTGAAGAGGTGCTCCACTATGCAGACTGGGGATAATGGGAATGGCAAGCCAACAGCAATTGTGACTCTGAGGTTCAAGGGAAAGGTTCAAGGGCATTTTTAAAGCCAGACATCCTATCCCTAATCCTTGGATCTCAATCCAAACTCCAATCTCTTGACTAAACAGAACAAACCGCAATCTCTAGATGTTCCTATATCTCAACTCTTCCCAGCTCTAGTTATGATGTTGAATGAGGAAGAATATGGGAGTTGTAGCCCAGCATCTGGAGGAGGGGCACAGAATGATATGGCTAACCGGATTCGACCTACAGGCCTTGAGTTTGACACGTAAGATTTGCAAAGGTTTATGAGCCTGCCATTACATCTGGCTCCTGGACTTATAGAAAAGTTCCTTTGAAAAACAGTGTTGCCTTCAGGTCATTTATTCCCTATGGCAACTCTAAGGTTTTCTTAACAAGATTTGTTCAGGAAAGCCTTTCTCTGAGGCTGAGGGCCCTTCCACACAGCCCTATATCCCAGAATATCAAGGCAGAATATCCCACATTATTTGAATGTGGACTCAGATAACCCAGTTCAAAACAGATATTGTGGGATTTTCTGCCTTGATTTTCTGGGATATAGGGCTGTGTGGAAGGGCCCTGAGAGAGTGAGACTTGTGGGTGTCATAACTGGGCGGAATTCAAATCTGTCTGGTCTCTTACAGCATTATTGTCCAATACTCAAACCACCACAAATCCAGAATTTCCTAGACCCCTTCTTCACAGCCATATAATCCAGATTATCAAAGCAGACTATCCACATGATCTGCTTTGAGCTGGATTATATGAGTCTACATGGCCAGATAATCCAGTTCAAAGCAGATAATCTGGATTTCATATGTAGAAGGGGCCACGAAGGTAATCCAGTCTGACCTTTCTTTCTCGGTTTTTCTCAGCCTGGATCTACACTGCCATATTATATTCAGATTATCAAAGCAGATAATTCTTTATATAGAAAGAAACAAGAAAGGTGCAAATATAAACATAGCATATAAAATGCAAAGAAAAGAGCCAGCAGAGAAGGGGAAGGGACCTGTTACACCAAGAGAAGTGATGGAAATATTTCAGAGCTGGGAGCTATTGACAAGTTTTACACATCAGTAGCTGGAGACAAAAGAATCATGGGAACAAGGCAGACCAGCAATGGGATGCATATGGTGTCATGTTATAGGGAGCATCACCAAAGGTCATGTTTTGGCTGCAATAACAGTTTGCCTGCCTCCTGCGATGAAGTCCTAAAGGTCAGGGAATCCTGACCATGTTGGTGATGGATCATAGAATCACAGAAGAGTTGGGAGAGACTGCATAGGATATCCAGTCCATCCTCATTCTGTCCTGAAGGAAAGGTACAATCAAAGCACCCTCGACACATGGCCATACAGCCATAATAGTAGTAGTAGTAGTAGTAGTAATAATAATAATAATAATAATAATAATAATAGCACAAATCCCAGAAGCTATCCAGCCCAACCCCCTTCTACCATGCAGGAAAAGCGCAATCAAAGCACTCCAACAAATGGCTATCCACTATCCAGCCTTTGCAATAATAATAATAATAATAATAATAATAGGAGCAA